TTGCGAACGCACGGTCGCATCATCGCACAATCGATACGTATCCACTCCATTCTCGAATTGCAATAGGTCGCAATCTATGACGAAAGCCCTACGTAATTCCAATTTTGGGAAGGAGTCTTTAAAAGCTTCAATGTGCTGCCATGAGCTATATTTCTACGCTCTTCGGCTTTTAATGCTGAGGAAGCACTTGAGAGCCAGGTATGGGGATGGGGTCCTTGCCTAAACGAATTCAAAGAGTTTTTAACATTTGTTCTTCATCAACAATACTTTTCAAGGCGTTGACTTTTTAACTTTTTTCTTGTTGATCTTTGCTGAGACCTACAAGATATCGATCCTTGATAGATGATCACGTGATGGTTTGTGGCAGTGTCGAAATCTGCTTCAGTACCGTCTCTTTCAACGTTGCGCAGCACAACATAACTCATAATTTTTGTACCTCATTTTTGGATATACGTCAGATTAAGTCCTACCTAGACCTTGAGAACTGATAGGTTTCCCATTGCACTGAGAAGCGTTTCTTCATTTTGTAATCATCCAGGATTTAAATGGATCGGTTTTGTTCAAAATCACTTGTTTTTGTTCTCACTGATTTCCTGGCTCTATACAAAGGGTTGGGCACGCCTAGCTTTCACGCCTTTCAACTGACTGCCCTCGGGTACCCCCCCCCAGGAGGCCCATCGCGCGGCAAGAAGGCAGAGTCGGCGGACGAGTTGCGGCGCGTGATGTGCGATGAAGGACGTGCAATGGGACATTCTATTTAACTTGACGCGATTTCCCTAATACGCGCGCGACTCGTCCGCTGACTCGGCCTTCTTGCCGCGCGACGGGCCTCCTGGGGGGGGGGGGTATCCGACTGCCTCACCTACCCCTCGTTGGCCAGGGTAGTTCATTGGACAGAAAGCGACTTTTTAGGGGCGTTTCGCAGCCGAAACTTTTTCGCCGCATGTTCCTCGGTCCCATAAATGGCCAGAGTGACCTGAGGTTTCCGCAACGAAAAATGTTCTGCGCTGCGGAGCGCGAAAAAATTTTGTCCTAGTGAACCAGTATTTTAATTTATTTTAATTTAATCAAAAACATTTTAATAATTTTGTTCTAGCTTTCTGTCCTTGTGAACCACACCCGATGCCTCCTCCTCCTCTCACGAATAGCGGACAGAGGTCCCACTTACATCACATATTTCTGTAAAAGAAATGCGGCGTGCCCACCGTACCTGTAGCACAATTTCCTATTAGATTCATCACCATTCTGCTTCCTTCGTCTTTATAACGGACTAGTATTGATAGGGAACAAGCGAATTTCCAACTTAATCTGTTCTCATGGATGAAAATACCTGAATTGTTTTAGTCTCTATTTCAGTGTGGCAGAAGAGAAATGCTCCAACACTACATTATGCACTCAAAACATTCTCATTTTCTTTTGCGATCTTTGCTTTTTGTAGTATGTCAAGGGGGAAGCGATGGTAGGTGGATTTGACCATCACCACTGCAGCCCGGCTGCCCCGACTTCAATGGTCTAAATTGTAGGGTCAAGTACTGTATTCACCTATTTGCCTTTTCGTTTTGAAGTATACCTTCAACCTTCATCTTCCAACCCTTGTTTTTGATTTTGGTCTTCCTTATTGTTGTTCCTCTTACACCTCTTTTTTAGAGATAGATTCCAATAGCATACACTGGGGTGCAAAACTTATGGCGTAAACAACTTTTGCATGATATTTCACTGTGGGGCCTATCGCGCCTCCACCGCTGATCCTATTCTACGGCTGCGGGAGACAGGGTTATGTCATAGTACCGGCAGTACTCTGGCGTTTCTATACTCCAGACAGCGCAACCCCTCAGATATACGCCTCAGCAGGAGAGGGCGGCTACAACATTACGCGTTTAATGGCAATCGTATAACGCACCTGTTCGCCCCAGCCGTAGGATAGAAGCAGCGGTAGGGGCCTGTGGGTAGCCTGTCAGCATAATTGCCGAATCACATTAATCGCGATCTATGAATAGGGCCTAAGACAATAAGAGTCCGCTCATTCATGTGCAGTCGATTCAGCTGATTTTGCAATCGTGCACCTGCATAATGTCCCACTAGGCGTGATTCTGACATGTGCTCTGTGCTTTCAAATCCTGTAGTTTGTCGCAGTCGGGATTCGCGTGTTTGACGTCTAGTAGGGTCGGGTCATACTTCTTTTATTTACTTATTTATTCCATAAGCTATATAAGACAGCGTTAGAAAGGAATAAGTGGTGATCGACAAGTATCATCAAAACGAGCATGATATAGGGTAATAGAATATCTGAATGAAAAAGTCAATGACAGCTATGCGCTTGTGGAATATTTCTAAGTATTGCCTATCAGAAGAAGGTCAGAGAGACTCCGATGCTAATAGCTTAGTGGTTTGAAAGTATGGAGCAAGACCAGCCTTCATGGTAAAAGTTGCGTCTATTGGTTGTTTTGGCATAGAAAAAGGCATATCAGCTGATCACCCCTTGTTTTGGAAGAAATGAAACCATAGAAGTCCGAAAATTTGATCGCTAATTCGGCCGTCAGAACTTTGCAGTTCGACTTGCAGTTTGAGTGTGGAGCAGATACGGATCGACCGCGCGCGATCGCAAATTGCGATGGAATTTGCGATCCAGCGATCCACACGTATCTGTTCCACACTCGAGCTGCAAGCTGAAGTGCAAAGTACGATTCGGCTAATAGGTACTGCCAAAATTCAGAACAAACAATCCTTCCGCTACTTTGAAACGGGTTGGCAATGAAATATAAGCTATAATTCCAAGTTTATGTGGTGAGTTTCAGCAAAGGAAGATAGCTCCTGCTCTACCAATTAAGAGGCGAATCCAGAAGTTCAAGCGGATGGTGCCAATCAAACCAACAAAGCACGTGAGTGGTTGGTTTTTGCGATTCATCTAGCTGCAGTATCATTTTCGTGCTCAGGGTCTCTGGCTATTGGTATGTTAAATTTGCGTTATGTGGCGACGGCAGGATGCTACGTCGCGCGTCTTGCAATTCATCGTTTTATAGTGCACTATCTATATATGTGCTCGCGGTAGCGAGATGTTTCGCTGGGGATTTTGCATTGTGAACCTGGAGCGAAAACTTTGAACTCGGGAGTGCGATGAAGCGTTCAATACTTTACCCTGAGTGTGGGCCCTAATTTTAAAACGCGACATCGTCGTAAGATCGTTTGATGGATCACCTACAGGACTCGATCTTATTTATTTATTTATTTATTTATTGCATGTGCTTTTTGCACATGAAGGAGTACAAACTTAACCAACGAAACAATGTAAAATGAGTACCTAATACTGGGAAGAGCCTGCAAAGCAATAAACATATAAATTTTATAAAGCGCTAACTTTGTGTGTCGGTTTGTGTATCTGTATGTGTGTATGTATGTATGTGTGTCCGTCCGCAAAATGAAGTGAGTGAGAAGGAAGCTCATGGGATAAACAAACCGCTAACAAATCGGGTAGCTTACAGGATTTGAGATATCAATGTTTTGTAGCAGGATAGTTGTGATAACACTCTTAGGGCTATATAAACACCTGCTTAGCACACTTCCGTTCATTCCACATGGTGCTGCAGTGGCAGCTGGAGGGCAGTGGAGAGAGGAAGGGAGGATGAGGAAGGGAAGCGAAAAATCTACCGTCATATCATGATTGTGTCCCTTCTACTGTATGAAACACCATTGTGTTGCATACGCGTCACTTCCAGGAGGTGTTGGTGTCACAGGACCATAGCGGAGGATAGAAAGCTTGCGCAGGAAAGGAAGGTCCCGGCGGTTGACGGGGGACTAATCTGGTATTGGAAATAACAACGAAAAAGTGATTATCTATACGAGGTAGCGATAAAAGAAGATGCGAAAACAAGATGTTAGAATCTACACGCCAAAAGCCCAACACGTCCTCACTTCAGATAACGCCGCAAGATGTTTCTGAATTGAGCTGTACTGTATCGCGGAGGGAGCTGTAGCGAGTCTCTGCTGTTGTGATACTCGATCAGCGCTCCGTGATGGTCCTGTAGCATGGCCTCTAAACGATTGCTATCTATGCATGGCAACGTGGCGCTTTGGAACTGCAAGCCGCACTTAAGGCCAAAGGATAGAACACGACGTTGCGCCTTTTGCAGCTCAGCGTTTCCACGCGTTCCTTCCAGTATTTATGCATCGGTTCAACTGTTCCTTAAGACTCTTCAACACACAGAGCATACGACTTCTTGTAAAATGGAGTACTCTGGCAACAGCGGTTCGCTACAGTTCCCGCTGAGCGGTAGGCCATGTAGCATGACCCTTTAAGGCCGATGTCAGACTTTGCGAATCGCGCGATTCGCTACTAGCGATTCGCGCGATTCGCTAGCGTCCGCGGTCGCGTTGCGGTACCAGCCAATTGAGTGATTCACTGGCCGCGACGCGACCGCAGACGCTAGCGAATCGCGCGATTCGCAAAGTCTGACATCGGCCTAAACAATCTTGCACTTGGCGACATCACCTTTTTTGTTATGTCATATACCCTATCGCCCCATACCTTCAATTTTGTCTGTACTGCCCGTACCATTGTTTCAAGATTTGAGGACATCACGCTTTTTCCCTTCCTGTTTTTGTAGGATAGGCACTGTCACTGGCTGGCACCATAACATCGTTTAAATAGTTACACGTATCTTCTATGATTGTTTTCGTCTTGCTTTGTCTTATACAAGAAGTTGCAGCTCCGCTAAAACAGAAATCGACTTTTTCTCTTCTTGCAGCGCGGAACTTTTAGTGCAGTGACCCCAGGTCCATCTCTGATCATGACTGAACCACACCCGGGTGCGAACGAGTTCTTAAGCCTTCCATTGTAAAACATGCCGATTTCCAGTAGAACTCTCCTGTAATGGCACTGCATGATACCACTCATTCTAGCATTCGATTTTCGACCAAAAAGTCTTTGATCACCAAAAAAAGCCAAGAAAACAGAGCAGTGAATTGTTCCTATAGAAGATGAATTGCAAGAGCTGATGAGTTTGTCATTATGGAGAGGTGGAATCAGGTTTCACGGTATTTGTTGCGCTCCTCACTGTTCAAAATACGTTAACCCATAACGGACGGCCAGTGTATTTGTTGCGTGCGCCACCATGTGGCGCACGCCGCCACCCAGGGTAGGGTTTATGTAGGCTTATGTGAACAGCAGGGGTAAGACGGGGCTAAAGTAGGTGTCGGAGTCTCATCATCCGAAAAAAGAGATTTCCGTTGACGACAAGTTCGTAGCCCACCTTTCCGCTCTAAAACTAGGGTGCAAAGAATGAATGGAAGCTGTAGGTGACATTATCGAAAAATGCGAAACAACAACCCCGAGCAAGGATGTGGCTATATTTAGGGGAAGGGGTCTCGGGACGTGCGAACCATGGGTAAGCCACCCATCAAATAATAAACTTATGTAAATTAAAACAAAATTTATTGTAGGTTTGTCAAAAATCCAGCCGTCCAGGTCCTGGGAAGATATGTTATTCCACATTGCTGAGAGTATATATGGGTATATTAAGATTGCTAGAAACATTCCAAAAACAAAAGAAATAGTCGTGCGCCACCTTGTGGCGCACGCCGTCCGTTATGGGTTAAGATCGTGCTGTCAAGGAGCTTCATGTTTAATTGAGTGTCAAAACTGTGATGCTCTAAAAGACTATTGCGAAACAGACACGTACGTACCTCAAAACATCCCGAAAGTGTTTTATTTTGCATGTAAGATTATTTCGGTACTAAGCATCTCGTATTGCCCAGAAAAAAAATACAAAATCAATCGGCCAAAACTTGCAGCCGTTTGAAAATTTGACGCGCATGCCGTCAAGCAGTCACGATTGTGTTGGTAGATTTTGAGGCGGAGCAGAGTGAGTTATTTATGGCAAATATTAAGTAACCAACAGTTTCCCAGCCAGACCGCCGGACCTTCTTCGCGTGTAAACCATTCCGTGCTCCGGCGCTGTGACACAACGACTTTGCGTCAGGTGACGAGTATGCTATAAAAAGGATTTTCATATAGTAGGAAGCATCGCTATAATATTAACGCGACGGTAGATTTTCCACCTCCCCTCCCTCCGCTGCACCTCGGCGCGCTGCCACTCCAGTTACGCGATGTGAATGACCGGAACTGTGCTCATTAGGTGTCTAGTTACCCCAATTATTCTCACAAAACATTCATAGCTCAAGCCCTGCGATCGTTCATTTAGCGTTTAGCGGCTTGTTTATTCATTAGCTGCCTTATCACTCACTTCATTTTGCGGACGAACAGACAGTCATGTAGACATATATACAAACCGACCCACCAAGTTAGCGGTCTATAAAATAGAAGGAGGTCAAAGAATTATTAAGCCAAACGAAGGTGCTAAGCATTGGAATCGCCGCTTCCAGGGCACAACATCGGGTATTTTGGAATGCTTTGCTTGTTTTGCAATCATTTTTTTCTGTGGAGCCTCACAAAGTTCTAACACTCTGTTCAGAAAAAGTCACAGTTCTGATGAAAGCTTAGGATTTATTGCATTTGAATGTGGCCTGAACCATTAAGCCAAATTGGCAATTTTTCTTCCATGTCAAATTCGTCCATTTTCTAACTGTGTGGAATGGAACAGATCCGTTTTCGAGCCTTTCTAACGTGGGCTAAATTCTGTTGATGAAGTTGTTTTGGTGCAAAGATCGTAACCTTAGGATGCTTAGTACTTTGTCAGTGTTTATATCATAAGTTCGTACATTTTCACGCTCGCTCAAAGGAAAGGTTTTCAGTCTAAAAAGCACATCCCATCTGAAAAGGAGTTCAAGAAAAGGGAACCACGTGTCATTCCTCTTGAGAGCGTACAGCGAGAACTGGTGAGCTATAACGCGTTTGATTATTTCGACTAGAAATTTTTATACTATGTTTGCATTTGTGTTATATTTTTTCCTCGAGTAACATTAGTCCATCAGCAATTCATCAGTCATACAAAATTATGTGCATGCAGCACCTAGGAGAAGGAGTGATTTTCCGCTACATCTTATTTTCTCTTGGAACTTTTCGTGGTTTATTCCTCATGCTGCTTAGTCGTCGCTGAATGATCTCAAATGTTTTCTAGGTGAACCTCCAATCATAACTCGGCAACTGTCTTGCTACTTTTATGCTCCATATAAGTCTAGTGTTTACCTGATCTTTATCCATTTCTTGGTTCGAACACAGTAGGTGCCACATGCTTTCTCTCCATTGAGTTGGGTGGGTGTCAGCAAAGCTCTCTGTTACTTCACGAGCAGGTAATTTTTACCTGCCACATACCTACCCCAGATTACCAGTGATTGATGCCGGTGTCAATACTTTAGATTTTTACTTTGTTGTGGTGTGAATGGGTTACATACTCGAATTTATTGGGATGGTCCGCTTGCATAAGATAAGCAGATATCTTGTTCATTTTGGGTGAAAAATTACGAACGTGAAAACTTTGGCTGTACTTTAGGTAAAGTAGTCAAATTAAGAAATGAAATTGTTTTTCATATCAACCGAAAAATGGAAATGTTTTTCTCAATTTTCTTGGGGAGCTGGTTCGAGTATACATTACAATGATTATATTTTCAGAAAACTGTGCCTTCTTTGCGCACAGATTCGAGGCCTTTAGAACAGTCGGTTCAGAAGCGTGGCCTGAATCGTCCAAATGACGAGCGTCCTGTCCCACCGCCACTTCCAAAAGCGGTAATAGTCACATGTAACAGTTCCATTGCAATGCAAAAAACAGTTCATATGCATTATCTCAGTTGCTTTTAGATAGGGTAGCGTCTCGGTGGCATTGGTAGCGGAGAAAGTTTGAAAAGGAAACACTTGTAGATTAGTTTTGTTGTTGTTGTTGCGACGGGTTATTTTGAACCAGGATGAGCTATGGTCGAGGATTTCTTGATGGAGGTCGTATTTTGCTCAGATCGTATTGGGTCGAGTTATGAGTCTTTTACCAGGGAGAGTAGCAGTTTTTAAAGGCACGAGTCGGGATTGAATTGATGCGTTATTTTGTTCAAACATTAGGCAAGGGGTGCAATGAGGAACATTAGTGAGGAGAAAAAGCAAAAGAGAGAGGGAGAACGCGAGATAGTACGTCGTACGCGAGAGGACGCAGAGACCACGTATGCCGTGGTTGATAACGCTGGCAGCACGGCAGCACACAATGCAGGGTCTTAGCGCCGGTGCCTCGAACTTTTGAGTCGCGACAGTGTCGCGCCCTCAGTGCTTGGGGCCCACCATCGCACCCTGGGAAAACTTCTGCTGGTTGCCTAATCCTGACTCGTAGCTTTAATGCCGTGCTTTCTTTGACATGTTTGCGTGATGATTTTATTTTTGGGATCCTAAGACTCGAGATTTCATATGATTATATTTTGCCGGGGTATTTATTCATGTAATTCTTCCCTTCACATGGCTCTTCCCCCGTCTTACCCGTGCAGTGTATACGAAGTTATTACGACCGGCTTTGACTCTTGCACCGAGGCATTGTCGTCACGCTCGGTCGAAGGCTGACGCCTTCTCATGCTCAGACGCTGGTCCTAGTCGGTCATCTCCACTGATGGAGCTAGATTCCTTTCTCTGGCGGACCCACAATGGCAAGTAGGGTAGTTTAGAAAGAGCCGGAAACAGGAAAGGGAACATGGGTCTGGAAAATGAAGTCTTCATATTTATTTAGTGCGCTGTACAAGACAACGTTAAAAGTATAACAAATAACAACAAAACAAATACCTGAGAGAACATTTCTGAGTAATAGAATGAATGACAGTGACAACTATGCTTGAGGAACATATTTTGCTTGAAGGATGCCAAAGAGCCGTCAAAGGATAAAGCTCTGCTGGCCCGCAAAACCGCAAGACCGGCTCGAACAAGTTTGCCTAAAGTCTCTTGCGGAATCATTGTCATGCTTGTTCATATAGCTTCGGTGTCGATGGGTCTTTCCGGTTGAAATCTATTCAATGTTGTGTAAGATAAAGGGTAATGTTGACCGAGGTCTTTCAACAAGAGGTCGGGCCACCAGAACATTTATGAGAGAGTGACGCAGTCTCAACCTCCTTGAGCTCGTCGGAAATCTCTTGGGTGAAGTCAGGTGTAGTTCAGGTAGGAGAGAATAAGAGTATACCAGAACCTGCCTGGTGTCGGCCACATAGGTGGAAAGACACATTATTACTGCTTGCTGGCTACATATGCCTGTGTGAAAAGTTTGCGAGTAGGAAGGAAAGCTTTCGTGCGTACGGGACCGCATTGACCGAATTAGAAAATTCTAGTCATAAAGACGTGAATTTTTTTCATTTTTCATTCTAATAAGGCCTCTGGGACGCGGTTGACTCTGCTTTGTACACTTCCCCCACTTAACCGTTTCTCTCTTAGTCTTTTATATGCCGGAGCCGTCAATTCTCTCATGAACTCAGTTTTAGGTGCCCAAAAAGGACAAGTCGCTGGTGTCAAATACACTTAGCACTAAAGATCAAGTAATCGTAAGTGTCACATATGTATGGTGCCAAGTAAAGAGTTTTGACGATTATGTTTGCGTGCAAGCCCGATATTTTGATGCCAGCCGGTTGTCCTAATTTGATCAATTTTAGGCCTCTAAGGATGACTGTTCTGCAATGATGAATTCATCCAAGGATTCTGTATGTAATTATTTTAGTAATGTCTTTATGGTATAGCTGCGGCTTTAGTCTCATTGAGTGAAATAGTTTGAAATTGAAAGGGATTTCAGGGAAGAAAACCGTCGAGCTTTCGCGAGATATTTGAATCTATCCCATTCGAACCACCACGGCGCGTTGTTCCGCCACCTTATCCATGTTGGGTAAGAAGCTTCAATATATCCTCGAATGTTTCGAAAGAAATATCATATTTCTGATTTTCAAATGATTGGAAGAAGAGTAAATTTCAACTCTCTTAACTTGACGGGTTGACACTATAAGGAAAACCATCAACTGCACCGATTTCTCAGAAACCTTGTTGCCGTTGTTGTCTCATGATATGAGATCCATTCTAGATTTTGAAATTCTGATTCAGGTTGACGGTCAGTTACAAAGTGGTTGTATTGAAAGAGTGGAACTCAAACCTGTTGCAAAGGTGCGAACTTTTATTTCGATTAGTTTCCTTTATTAATTTTTCGAGAGAATTTGGTGATATGAATGAACACTGGTCTTCCAAGGTACGAAGTATATTTATGACAGATCACATAATATTAGTTCGAATCCGCGCAACTTAGCGGTGAGCAACGCATGCCCAACGCCTAAGGAACCTAAGTTTTCATAAAATTGATAATAAATATGATATTTCATAAAATTAATGATTGTATATGCTTACAGTACCGGCCACGCCATACGAAGATGCCTGCTACCAGTCACGTTACAAATGGTTTTGTTTGTATAATTACATAGTTCGCTAACGAGTGCCATACGAGAACTGCTATTATGTCACCCACTCACAGGTTTGTAGGATTCTGGTTCGTTGATTTGCAGAACTGTTTCAGTTTATCTGTGCGCAGAATACCCCTTTCATATCAGCTGATATTATAGAGAGAAAAAAGAACATCGCAAACAAAATCTATTACTGCGGTACTGCGGTGTCAATATTTCGTGATGTTATGATTTCGACAACCTTCCGAATGCTAAACAGGAAACCCAGTGGTTAATCACTCGGCGTTACACAAGGTGATGAGTCACGCCTGGATCTAGGAATCAAGTCAGACCTAAATCAGACAGTTAAATGACGCCACTTGACAAAGAGTGCTCCCTATTGTCAGGAATAAGCGTCCTTTGCATATACCACAGTAGCGGTCAAAAGTTTGGAAACTTTTTTATTTTTGATCTAGCGCGGCCGACACACAACGAAATTGTCCCAAATTTGATATTCATACAAAATCGAGTTCAGAATACGACGGGAAGAATAATTTCCAAAAACCTATAATCATATTTGAGAAATAAGATTTTTTTCAAGTAATGGCGCGTCAAAAGTTTGGAAACTTTTTGTTTCCCTTATCATTATGATTCCTACTCTTCAATGTTCACTTGTTTCTGTTAATTTTAGTTAAACTATTGAGCAATGTGTAATTTCAAAATGAATTCATATGCAAAGGAAGCAGTTTTTCCATGGGAAGTCCTTTCTTGAACCCTACAATACGGAATACGAAATTGAAATGGTTTCTTAGTAGTTCAATCTCTAAGGAAGTAATAGCATCGAATGTTTCTGGCTTTGTTGGAGTCGAGCAAGCATAAGAAGAATGATCATTCACAAAAAAGTATCCTCACAAGAAAATTGGCCCTCCTCAAATACTTCGGAGGGTGGTTGGCACGTCCCGTGCCCCCGACATTCCCAAGTGAGAGACAACTTTTTCCAGTTTTCCTCTAATCATATTGAAGTCCAAGTGTAGCACAACATCGGCCGCGACCTGATGAATATTACGGATGGTATCCCAGCAAGTAGCCATTGTTGGGCTTCAAGAGCAGGATGGCCCAACTGGCTTCCGCACTAACGGCTAACATGAACCGAAGGCCAGAGAGGTGAAACTTTGTCCTCAGCGACGAATGGAATGCTATTTCTGTCTTCCTGGAAATGATGTTGTGGACCCTGTGAAGTGTTTTGTCAAATGGGAACCTCATTTTGAGTAAGATTTCCAACAGTCAGAAATAGCGAAAGTGTTGTCATGGATGAAGATGTGTCCGGCCATTCGGCGATTCCCCAGTTCTAGGTATCCAGCGAAATGTGGGTTGGGCTAAGTACAAGTATAGTCTGTAGAATACAATGCTTCCCTTCGATAGTCAGAACTAGCCGGAAAAGATGGGTTTTCTATCGCGGAAATGACCCAAATGCAGGCTCTACCTCCCACGCGCTCTACCTTCGACTTCCTAAAACCAACCCAGAAAAAGAAGCTGTATGAAGCGACCAAGTCAAGATCTAAAGTCTAATTGAGTTCTACATCCCACGGAAGAACTGGCATGTCGCTCAACCCACATTCCAGTTAAGAATCCCACCAAACAATGTGATTTAGTTCACAGTGTGTAGGGTTCGTCTTGGAAGTTCTAAAATTATTTTATAATCAACTTCATGTCAATAAAAATGACGCTAACATAGAAATGTAAAGCCACTCATCGAATTATTAATTATCATGTAGAATCCGGAAAGTATTTTGAAGAATTCGCTTCGGAATTTAAAAGTTTCCAAACTTTTGACGCGCCATTTCTTATAAAAAAATTCATATTGTTCTAATGCGATTCTAGTTTTCGGAAGAGTAATGTAGCCCATCGTAATCTGCACTTGATTCTGTATATGACATGTGAATTCGGGACAATTTCATTGTATCTATCGGCTACGCTAGACCAAAAATAAAAAAGTTTCCAAACTTTTGACCGCTACTCGTATATCTGACACCTACTTTGAATGTCGTCTCGTTGGCGGAGTTATTATTATACAGTTGGAATTAAGGTAAGAGGCGGGTCAGAGGTGCCCGTCGAAGAAAATGGTGTGAGAAAGACTGAGGCGGGGGGGGGCATATCCTTCGACTTGCAAATTGCGTGTTGGTCCCCTCCCATTAGAAAGGTCCCGCACTTCTACTAGGCTAAATATTGCCCTTCTTCGACCTTCGACCTTTTGTGGAATCCTCTAACCCCACATTTTGGAGTGAGCGCAGCGGGAGTTATTTAGTGGATGAGAGGTAAGAAAAGAAGATCTCCATTTGCAGCCAGGAATGCTACTTGGTTTGTTTTAATTTACTGTTTTCTTTGTGATAGCAATTTTCTCAGCCAGTGAAGAAGTAGTGTCTGCTGAATGAGTTGTTTGAGCACTTCAATTTCCGTATTTGTAACTTTACGGAAGTACCCGTATGCTCCCTATGTCATTGTTTTTTATGCATTTGTTCAGAGTTCTCCGCCCCGTGATGTGCGACCTGGAAGAGTTTCTCCTGATTGGGAAAGGTACTATCCCGAGAACGACTTCACAAATTGGGGTGGTGGCAATCTCGACCAGGTTGTGATGGGTCAGCCGCCATGCTTTCTTAAAAGTGAGCCGGCTGACGAGCTGTTGGACCATACGTATCATTCCCGTCGTCTCATGTCAGATTCTCGCAGTTACCATCATTATGATCCTCATTCATTTGATTATTATGATTTTGCACCTCCTCCACAAAGGTATCATTTCGGGCGTTCATCGTGGGAATACGGTGAAAGTTCTCGAGAATTCAAATATGCTCCTGTTGAGCATGTGTATTGTGTAGAATCTGCACGCCGCTATCCTGCACCCACACCTAGTTATGTTTATCCTGATTCTCACTATTATGAAGGCGATTTACCTCCACCACCTCCACCTCCCGATTTTGAAGATGCGCGTGTAACCCGTCCTATTCCTTTTCCTCGTTAATAATAGATCATTCATTTTGTGCGGAAGCCGCTTTGCTTATTGATTTGATTCATGCTCGTTGCATCGAAAAATGTGTCCATTTTTTTCTACTTTGTAACTCTCTTGATATGGTTAGCGCTCAGTGCTACTATCGATTCCAAATCACTATGTTGATCTAATATTTTTGATGGTTGTTTTTTATGTTGTCATTGCCCATCACTATCATTCCAGGAGAGGGTCTCATTTTTGCATGCTTTTTGTCTTCTTCTATTTCTTAAATTTGTTTTCA